AGGAGGAGGAGGAGGAGGAGGAGGAGGAGGAGGAGGAGGAGGAGGAGGAGAAGAAGAAGAAGAAGAAGAAGAAGAAGAAGAAGAAGAAGAAGAAGAAGAAGAAGAAGAAGAAGAAGAAAGAGTTAGATGCTTATACTATTTAACTAAGAGACAGCTTAAGTCCCTTAGCCTGGCATCTACATTTTCTTTACTTGTTCTCAAATCTATCTTTACAAACCCTCTACTGAAGCATCTCTTCAATGACAGGTCTTGTGTAATGAAATTTCATGCCATCAAGTGTGCCCTCATCTGTTCAGCTTGATCTCAGGCAGTCTTCACCGTGGGTCCAATGTGTCCCAGTTATATGGAGACCCTTATCAAGTCTCCCCACTGCTGCTTTATCGGCACCACTCTAGTTCTGCTATTCTGCTTCCTATATGGTCATTACTGATTTATGTCTCACTTGCGTTTCTATTTTCTTTGTTCAAATCATGGTGTTCTTCTAGTTAAGGGTGTCTCTTTGATGATGGGTCATTGCCCAAGGTCTGTGCCATCTAGGGCTTCTACTAGAAGGGACAAAAATCTAGCAACAGTCCTCTTGATGCTATGCTGCTTTATGGCAAAGACACTATCTGCCTGTGAGCTTAACAGATTCACATGATTTGATGGATTGGGATGTCTGGTTACACAGACCTTGCTCTAGCTTCTAAAAGCCAAGTTTCCCTTTGTCTTTTTTCTTTTTCTTTCTTTTTTTTTTTCATTCTTTGAACCTACATAAAAGCACTGAAGATATCCCACACCAAGATCCCCTGGTGATGATGATGTGGCCCAAACACGATCTTCTCCCTCCTCGATCCACTTAGGAGTTATTTACCCCTAAATCTGTAAATTTGTTTAATTTACCCTGCCCCATGCATCTCCTCCCATTCTTAACATCTGTATTTTGCCAAACCATCCATTTTGTCTGCCTCAAAGAACCATTAGATGATTCTGATTTTTCTCTTCCCCTGATATACTTTCTTCTTAGCCTTTTAAGATGAAACAGCAAGAACAACTTTGCTCTCTTTTCGTGGCACCTCACAGCTCTCAGAGTCTTAGTCTGGTCTGCGGATTTCATTAGGTGCCCTTTAAATACCAGCTGTTTTGAGAGTGTATTCCATCTTCCTCTTCCTAACTATATTTCCAGGTAAATGGATCTGTGAGCTAATCCACTCAGCTTCTGCTAGGATGTGAGTCCCTAGACTCATGCTACCACCCAGTTTTTAGTCTCAGAAGCATCTACTTCCTGGTCCTCAATCGTTTCCTGGATGTTCAATTAAGCACCCAAACTAAGTCTCAGTCTTACTCTTCCTCCCTCCATCCTAAACACATTTGAATCCACGGGTGCGTTCTTTTTGACTGTACTTTTAATATATACCCTGAATTCAGGACCCGGGGCTCCATCTTGCCCACTCTTACATGTGAGGACCCAGAAATCGCCACCTACAAGCCAGATGGCAAATTCTCATCAAATGCTGAGGAGATTCGGAAGTGTGAGGTGCCATGTAATAGCGAAGTGAAAACAAGAAGTGATGCACAGAAGAATCACTGCAGCAGCTTCCCCAGTGGTTCCTTCTCTCTGTATTCATAACAAGTCTGAAATAGCGTTAAGGAAGGCAAACAATCACAGTTAAAGTTTATCATCAGATTGTGATCTGTGCTAAAGTAAGTCGCAGCAGATAGGTTCCTCAGACTCTGGAAGATATAACCTTAGGAAAGAAGGCAGTTGAATAGAATTTAATGGACAAGAATTTAAAAACTGCGTACATAAGTAGGTGTGATAATTGAATAAAAATAATATTGAACATGTATGGCCCTAAATCCGCCTAACATGTTCAGAGAGTTCCAGTAACTAAGGAGTAAGAGAATGTTTGCTAAAATCTCAGTTTTGTTTACTCAGAGAGAGGCATGGGTCTGTACATTCAAACAGTTTCTCTTCTCTGTTTTCCTCGCCTTGTTCACCAAGACTCAGCAAACCAAACCTTATGGCATTCTGATGAAAATCTCAATTAAGATATGATGGGCTTAAGGTCTGAATCAGTTATCTCAAAAGCTCAGGAAGAAAGTGATAGAGTCAGAAGCAGCAGAGATAAAGAGGATGTAGGAAAACAAGGAAGAACCTTCTGAGGTCATTCTTAGGGCGTTCAGTTCTTTGGTGGAACACAATGCCCTACGACTTGAGAAGGAAGATGGTTGCTACCGACACAGGCTTTGCTGGGACAGTGAATCATAGTCACTGCCAGGCCCAGGGGTGAGAATTGATTGACTTAGACTGTGTGTAAAACAAGAGCACTGGTTTAATAAGTTTGGCTATTTACTTTTCCATTTTGCCCATAGGTTGGATTTCAAGAAAGGACAATTTGACAGGGTAATCAAGTCTTAGAGAGGCCTGGAGACAAAGGGCAGGTTTAATTAAGGGGAGCCAGGATGAAGGGTGCCCAGGGAAGTAGAATCATTCCTAGCTGGCAGACAGATCTGGAGCCTTCAGAGTTGGTGACAGACAGCATCAGTGTGTGGGCTGCCCTGGATCCGAGAAAAATAAAGAAGAGCCTTCTGGGGTTCATTTCCTCCAGCTCTGTATTCCTGTTTAGACATGGGCATGCCTGAATTTGCCAGTTACCATAATGAGGCCAGAGGTGAGGGAAGGAGGAAGGGAATTCAAGTCCCCAGTGAATGCAAATACACGTCATTCAAAATACCTTCCAGAGCCCAACCATGGATGACTTTGGTGGTTACTTATTTAAAGGTGGAAATTTTGGTTCACTCCTTTGACCATCCAACCAAATATTTCCTGAGTTTCTTCTCTGAGTGTGCTGGGTATAGAAATGTAGCCTGTGTCTGAATGTACAGCCATGGGTCAGGTTCTTTTAAAAAGAGCAAAATAGAAAATCAAAATAAAACAACATCTCCAGCTTCCCAGGACCTCTCTTGCTTCTGACCTTCTATAATAAATTATCCACAGTGTGATAATCACTTAATTGGTCTCTTTCTTTATTTACCCATACCTCATTTTCCTTAAGTTGATGACAAGAGTCTTCTATTTTTATTACTTCTTCATTTTGTTATTATTACTACTTTCATTTTTCATCATTTGGTGTGATTATATGAAGTGTACACATGAAGAATTCACAAAATATTAAGTATACTTAAACTCAAGGGAAATGTTCAAGTATTAATAACTGAAATTAAGGGCTCTAAGAGGATGAGTGATTTTCCTTTTGATTTTACAAGTATGTTTTAAAAACATATGTAGGAAACTTATAATACAAATGTGCCCACAATAAAAGTAACTAAGAAATAATAATAATCCCAGAAGTATCCCATGGGAAGGGCAACTGTGCATTTTAAATTATGAGATGAGATTACATTAAGGACTTTAAACATGGCATCTTTTTTTTTTCTTTTCAGAGAAAATTGTTCTAGCCTAGAGAAGCAATGAGAATGTACAAATATGTCCTTTGCTGTAAAATAAAGGTACTTTCTCACTGCTCGGAGAATGGAAGAGCAGACCTGCAAGCAATCATCTCTTAGGGGAAATGAGACGTAGCTCTGAGGTAGCATCTGTAACTGCACCCATTATCCATTATTTGAAAGAAGGAAAAGAGTTCATAGAAATATGGTTTCCAAGAAATGCTTGGCTCCACAGTCTTCTCTTCTACAGTGCCTTGTTTGTAGGGATGATTGCTTCAGAATTCAAGGCTGGCTTTAGATCTCTGATCTTCCTTCCTCCACCTCCCAAGTACTGAGAATCTAGGTATGTGTAACCGCAGTTAGTTTTAATTTTATTTTTCAATTTCAACTCTTGAATTTAAGGTAGTATTAAATAGGCTATGACTCAAAAGACTAGACTTCTGTATGAGCATCCTGCTCTTCTCAGTTCATATGAACTGTCACTGGAAATGCCAAATCTCTAAAATCTGCTGCACATTTCCATGGCGTTGATGCAACACACTGAGTTCTTCAGAGTGAGTGCCTTGGGGAGATGAGGAAAGTGGGGTTAGAAGAGGCAAAATGGTGTTCTGGTAATCAATTAGGGACTTCAGGCATCTTGTTTCCTTCAGCCAGAGACTACTGCTGTGGTGGGGTTCAAAAATTCTCTGCTTCAACTGAGGTTCCAAAAGGAAATTCTAAAAGTTGATGTCCTGAAGACCACGACTCACTTTTCCTAATTACTTACTGGCTGCTAAATAATGAACACTTTCTTTTTTGAACGTCCTACTGGCTGGGCCCAGAGTAACAATGAGCATTTCTTCCACACAGCCTTGACTTGTATGTCTGTTTGCTGGAGTCAGTGATGCCGATTGCTGTGGAAACTGCTATCATTGACAGTTTTGAAAGACAGATTCATTTTTGCAAAAGAATAGTTCTCTGCCGTAGATTTTAATGCAAGGGAGATCATTGAGAAGTACTTTTTCAGAAGCTGTGTTTTCGATACTTGGATATTTCATTTTTATTTTGCTAAATCCTATCGTTCTTTTGTATGCTTTTTTTTGAGATTCTCATACATGAATATTGATTCCATTTATCTCATTTCTTCCCACACTCTTCAACCTCTGACTGCTCTCATGCTACCCTCTCTCAAATTCACGATCTGTTCTCCTTTAATTATACATACACATATACACATCTGTAAATATAAACACAAGCTCTGAATTCATTAGTGTCACTTGTATTTTCCAGCTGCCCATTTGATAGAAGACTAACATCCAGAGTGTGGGGAACTATTTAAAAAAAAATCCAAAGAGCCAAGAAAACAAATGAGCGAACCAAAAGATAGGACACAGACTTGTCCTGGTTTGCTCTCTATTGCTGGGATGAGCACCATGACCAAAAGCAATATGGACAGGAAAGGGTTTATTTCTGCTTATAGTTTCTAATCTGTCATGAAGGGAAGTCAGGGCAGGAACTCAAGGCAAAACCCTGTAGACAGGAATTGAAGCAGAGACCAAGGAGAAATGGTCTTTACTTGCTTGTTCTCTATGGCTTGTTAAGCATTATTCATAACAGCCAGGGAAAGAAAATCACCTGCATGTCCTTCATTGATGAATGGATAACATGAATTTTAAAAAAAATTCGAAACTTCCACATGAAGTCTAAATTTGTGTTTCTAAAGTCCCCAAATCATCCAATTACATTGTAATAAAGTAAGTTATACAAGTAAATGGACTGTTAGCAGTAAACATCTAGTTTATTGTAAGTTACTCATTTTAGGAAACTAAAGTAAGAGCTGAGTATATAACATTAAATGCTATGTTATTTGAACTATATAATGGTATTTGCAATTAGAAAAGTTCATTATTTCCTAAACACCCTGGTTATTTTTCTCTCTGGTTGAATAAAATATTCTATAATTTGTAATAAAGGGATATACACCTTAGAAACAGCAGATAAGTCTATACGTATAGCATATAAGTTAATGAGGAAGACAGTTTTTATGGGGTAAAAGAGATTAATCTCAATATTAAAATATTAAATATAGGCAAATAGATTTATCTTAATTAGGCACTTTTCTTTATATTGATATATCTTTTAGGAAATATAAAATCAAATACTTTAAACTGTATCCAGCAGTTTCTATTCAACATAGTAGATGAAAAAATGTTTAGTTAGTATTCTAATTTAGTCTAAATAAATTTGATTATTTTATAAGCTAAACTGTGCTCAATAGTCACTGTTAGATCCTAGAAGACAGCCGCACAATTGTTTGGCTCTAGAATTCTACCCATTCTTCAGTCACTATCTAATTAAAAATGCATTGGGAAATTCAGATTCTAGAATGGAAAAGAAATACTTAAGACAATGATGATTTTCGTTGCAAACCACTTAGCAACATTCACAAAACTAACAGCAAGAGCCAGGAAAGTACGCATTACGAGACACTTCATAAAATGAAACCACTTGTCATTTAAGCTGTAGATTTAGAGACTGACAAGGCACAGGGACCAGACAGTTAGAATACAAATGAAAGTCACCGTCATTTGATTGTAAATTCAGTATGTGTTACAACGGAAGGGCTTGGCCCAGATGGGCTAATTTGATGGAAATCATTCAAGTGCAGTCTTTAGTGTGAAATTTAAAGGCCAGGCCTTTAAATGAGGTACATAGTAATTTTCCCACTTACAGGTGTTTTCATTTCCCCGGAAATAAGCACGAGTTTCACCAAATAAAAATGAATAACATAGAAGTTTAAACTGGCCACCAGGTTCGCTAAACACTTGAAGGTGACCGAGAAGCTAGCCAGTGCCAGCAAGTGTTGACAAAAAGGTGCCATTTATGGTGCGCCTGCCAACTGCCTAATCCCCTAAATCCCCATCTGACACACAGTATCATCCCTGCTTTATGGACAGCAGACTTTTGAGGCTTAGATACGGGAAGTAACTTTCAAAGTGGCAAACTAGTAAATAACAAATCTTGACTCTGTGACTCCCCAGGTTCAGAATCTTGGTGTCTGCGAAAATACGGTAATTGTAACCTTGTCTGGTGAGGTCTTCCTTATACCCCAAATCCTCTCCAGCGACTGGAGGGTGATTTGCCTCGAGGAAAGAAATATTTCACTGAACCCTCCAGTCAAAGGATCTCTTCCTTGCGATGTGGTCATTTAATGCCCACTTTAAACGCAAGAAGATGCAGCCCAGGTAAAGTCAATGAGCTGGTGCTTTGGGAAAGGGAGGGCAGGGTGGTCTCCCTGCTCCAAATCCCGTCCCCCTCCCCCTTCCTCTCTCCCACCCTCCCCACAAACTTACCTTGTCCAGGAAAGACTATTCTGAGAAGGATTATGATTTAAGGCCAACTCATACCAGCGTTGAGGTTGCACTTAAGCTCGTACCCATTTACCCTTACTAAGGATGGACTGGGCTTTCTAAGGACCTGCTCTCAATCGGCCCCCCGCCCCCGCCCAGTCTCGGGTATGTGTGTGTGGATTGAGTGGGGCTTTCCCCCTCCACTCCCAAGTTCACCTGCTGTTATCACGCGGGGCAGATCTTGTGATCCAGCAACGCGGAGCCTGAGGTGGCCAGCGTCCCTGGCCGTCGTGGGCAGGAGTTGCTGCCCATGGGAGTCCCAGCGTCCTTGTCACTCACCTGCTCACTCACGCGCTCCGGGCTGGAACCGGCCCCACACTGCTGTCCCCCGGCGCAGTTAGCAGGTCCCAGCGGCGGTTAATTATTACCAGCTCGTCCACCGAGGGGTGTGAGCAGCCCGAGCCACGCCCAGCGCCTCTGTGCGCATTGGGAGTGTCGACTCTCTCCTCCTAGCCCGCGGGCAGGTATACCTCTCTCTGACGCGGTTCTCCGAAGTGGGCTGACGTCGGGGACCTTCGTCGCCTGATCTTCGCCGGCCACCTGTGCTGCAGATAAACGACACCAGCTAGGACCCCCTGCGTTTTGTTTTTGAAAAGCGATTTCACCTTTCAGCTGGAGATTTCTTACTTTTCTTTCCCTTGCTCTTGGCTTCCCCCATTCCTTGCCAGCACCTTTGCACCCAAGACATCCCCCCCCCCCACACCCTTAGGGTGCGCCAGAACCTCCCAGGAGGCTTGCAACACCAGGGAATGTGCCTGGCCTGACCATCTTACTTAGTGGGTCTTGGGTAGACATGCTGTTGTTATTCTTTTATTTATCCCAGAAGCGTCCAGTAGCCAGCAATTCATCTACCGAATTGGGTGTGGGAAGTTTACTTTTTCTGTTTCAAAAAGAACTCAAAAGACTAGCAGATATTAGATGTTGTGGAAATAGGGTTTTTATTCACACACACACGTAATAAAAAAAAAATATATATCAATTTGTATTTTTGACAGTTTGAAAAATCAATTGTTTTCCAAGTGTTAAGATTTGGCTCGCAACTGTAAGCTTGTAATTGAATTACAAAAGGCATTTAGTGATTTTTCAAGAAACCAGAAGGCAGAGTTGACTGGTGGCGTCCTCTGTTCTGGAAAGCTGAGTGGACAGAATGACTGACAGTGGCCCTACGGTCACCGTGCTTCTTTGATGTGCCTGTATGGTGCCTTCCATAGGATTCTGCACATGCAGAAAGGGTCAGACAGTTGAGTTAGCCTGTGGCCAGTGAAAAAGATCAGGGGCTTTGAGATTTACCATGCTTTGGCCAAAAGGGGTACAGGGTTCCAGTCCAAGTATTAGGGTCCTGTCTAAGGCCCGGCCGGGTATTACTTGTACTGGTTTGTCCACGCTGGCTCACAATCTCCTAGTGTGTGGTTGCTGGTGTGGACCGACCTTTGGATGATAAGGAACTAGAGCTGCAGTGTTTACAGCTCCGGTTTCTAGATCCTGGCTCCGCCCAGTCACCTGTGCTCAAAGGGATCACCTGCTTCTTTTCAGCAAGCCTTTATCTGCAGCCTTCCAGCAGGATCCCTTTGCCCTTTGAATGCTTCATCCTCGTGTAGATACATAGTTTGTCTTCGTAATGCAGAGCCACATAACACGCACAATGTGAACATTTTAGAAACCTCAGAAATGAAGTGGAAAAAAATTTGCCAGTCTACCTCTGAAATAAAATATTGTAAGCAATGGGCTGAATGTCTTGACTGACTTGTTTGCTCTATGAACATATCAAAATGTGGCTGCAGAGTTTGTTGTTTTATAACCTACTTTTATCTTATAAAAGATATTGTGAACAATTTACCATATGTCAAGTCAGATTATTTTATTTTTCTTACAAGGTGTTTTTAAACAGTGGCACTGTAATACGCCGTATGGATAGAACATTATTTATTTAACCAGTTGCTCATTGCGAGAAAATTTTACTACTGAACCACACTATAGCCAATGTGTGTGTATAATGGCACCTAACTGTGATTATGACCTTCAGAATGAAGCAGCAAGATGAAAAAGAATGCTTACTTTAAATTATTTTAAAATGCCTTTTGCTTTTACATGTTTTGCCTGCCCGTGTGTACACCATGTGCTTTTGGTGCCTCCTGGGTTGGATGCCCTGGAACTGGAGTTCCAGGCAGGAGTTAGTCACCGTGTGGGAGCTGGGAGCAGAACTTGTGTTCTCCACAAGAGCAGCAAGTGCTCCTGAGGGCTCAACCATCTCCCTAGACCCAAGGAGCTTTTAAACCAAAGAATAAGTGGTCAATTTTATAACCCTAGGGCTATATGCTATAGTGAGTTACTACACTTATTTCCAATTATTTATCAGTTTGAAAGTTTAAAATTCATAGTTTATCTTGTTGTTTGAGATAGGGGCTGACTTTGTGGCCTATGCTGGCCTTTGACTCTCAGCTCTTTGCTTTATTCCCTGGATGCTGGGAATCCAGGTAGTTTACCACCATCCTCAACTGGTACCTACTGTTAAAATGTACAGAGTTTGTTGCTACTAAAATTGAAGTCTTTCTTTACATTTACCTTGCATTTTCACTTTTTTTCTATTTTAAATTTGCTCTTTGCTCTCTTCCTCTTATTGACTTAAAATGTGTCTCTACATATGAAGTATATCAACTCTTCATTATATATACTGTGGTTTTACTTCCCAGGTTATTTGTTTACATCCCAGTCTTCTTTTTGGTAATTTTGGCACATAAAAGTTTCAAAATTTAAATAGTTAAATCTATTAATTTTCTTTGCTATTTTGCAACTGAGTTTAATAAAAGCTTTTTTGTTCATATATGTATGTATTTTCTTGTAGTATTTTTCTTGGATATTGCTAAATTCATTAAATTCTGCCCATCTGGATTTCTTACCTTAAAAACCATAAAATTTAATTCTGACTTCATTTTTCTAAGCTTCTCAGCTGTTAAATAAGCCATATTGATCAAATAGTATAAAGTATTGATTCTTCATGGAGGCCAGGATCCTGCCTACAGCTCTGCTTCATTCCCTACTTAATATGGAGCCTGGGAAACCCAGTCTTAGTCAGCTCTTGTTCCTTTCTTTTCCTATGCCTGGCAAATTGGCAAGTCCTGATGTAGTATCTCCAACACTCTCACCCTACATCCGAGCAATGGTCCTAGACTGGACACTTCAATGGCCTCCTAATTGGTTTCTCTGCTCTCACTCTGTCCTATGCTGGCTCCTTCTCTACCTCAGCCAGCAGGATCTTTTACAAACTATTCTGATCACATGACACTGACTTCCTTTGCTAAGAGCCGTTCTAACGTTTGCTCCATACACGTGAATGAAATCTGAGTCCGAGCTTCTTACCAAAACATAAAAGGTCTCCTTCACCCTCATCCACAGCGTTGCATCTCCGATTCTCTGGTGCTTCCTTCCTGTGTCCTTGTTATCCAGGTTTAGGATTTCTCCTGGAACAGACCAACTTTGTCCCTGCTTCACCGCCTTTGTGCTTGGTTCTGTATCCGCCAAGGAATCTCTGCTCTGGTCACAGCATCTTCTCATTATTCTGAGTTTTCCTCAAATACCGTCTCCTCAGAGAGGCCTTCCAGATGACACTATTTTTAAAGGAAGTCTCCATTCTCTCTCTCTCCCAGCACCCAGTTTTGTTGTGTTCTTGGCAGTTATCATTGCCTGAGTACATGTCACATTTCAGGTAATTTCTTTATCTTACACCCTCTTCTCCTTAAAACCTAAGCTCTAAGACACAGGGATATAGGTTCCGCGCTGTGGTGTGAATGACATCTTCTCAGGCCTCCCACAGTTCATGCTATTTGAGGGGGTTTAGGTGGGTGGCCTTGATGGAGAGTGTGCCACCGAGGGTGGGCTTTTTATTAAAATCTTCCCCCCACTTATAATTTGCTCCCCCTGCCTTGCGCTTTTCCTCAAGGATGCAAGCTCACGGCATCCTGCTCCTGCTGCTATGCCTGCTGCTTGCTGCCATGATTTACAAGACCAAAGAAAGCCTTTCCTCCGTAAGTTGTCTTATCATAGTGTTTTTTTCATAGACACAGGAGGGTGACTAATTCAGGTGGTCTGTCTTCGGTGTCCAAAGTAATGCTAGGCCCATGTCAGAGGCTCAAGAAACCTTTCATTGACACATAATAACAGTAAAGGTAAACATGTATCGAGTAGATACATGTACGTCGTTATGTTTTCTCATTTGAAGTAGCACTTTATATGATAAATTAATGTAAACTGAAACTAGAGTTTATATCTTATTTTATTGACCAACCTGTGCAGTATTGTTTAAAAGAAGGAAAACCCCAACCATTCCATTTTACCCACTAAAGACTCAGGAGCCGGCTGCTGGGGTGAAAACCTGCTAGCTCAGAAAGGCAGAGAAAGGACCCAGCTGACCTTTCTTCTCAGCTCAGGTCCATATGGAAAAAACCTAAAAGGCTCACTAGCTCAGCTGACAGCCCAGGAGGAAAAGGCAAAAAACAAAACAAAACAAAACAAAAACAACCCAAGGCTGAAGACTTGCCAACTCAAAGCCCAGAAAGTCAGGGAGCAGAGGAGTTGAAGACTAAACTAGAGCAGAGCTTGAGCTAACGGCCTTTTCTTCTTCTCCAGGCTATCTTAAATACCCCTCAACTCAAAGTCCCTCTACTCTTTAATCCCTGTCAGCTGGTTTTTTGCTCTGCCTCTTGACCTAAGGTTAACTTTATTAAATCCTGTACACAGAAAGCTCTTGGATTAAAGGTGTGTGCTAGGGCTCAACCACACCAAATAAACATGGTTCTACAGTTCACAGTTTTGGGGTTCACAATGGGATCAAATGTCCTTCGACACTGCGGAGTCATCAATCATCAATCTCAAACCATCGGCTCCACAGAATGACTCAAGCTGACTACCCCTTCTAAAAATCCGATTATTTTTACCTTGTCATACCATAAATAACAGCTCCCTACAGAATACTGAGAGTTAAGAACACATTTACTCTATTCACCACAGAGTATCATCGAAATCTGCTAGGTCTAGTGTATGTGTATTAGGAACTGATAGTTTCATGTCAAAGACAGAAAGGCACCTAAAGTAAAGTGTTTTTTGTTTGTCGAGTTGTTTTTGCTTTTAATTAGGTTATGGATGTGAGTGTTGAAATGACTATAGTAATGGCTCGGATTTGCTTATCTCCTCCCCCACCTCCACCATATTTCCTTTGGATGGATTGACCTGAAGCCACTGCTTGGCCATGATACTTGCTTTGGTCTATGGATCAGTACCAACCAAGGCTTGAAAGTTTTTTTTTTTT